CTACAATGAGCGAAATCTATGCAATCCAATGCAAAGTTCGGGACTAGTCGTACGATACATGCGCTATAATCCATATATGTTATGATAAGTCTCTTTTCAAAACTTATTATGACATTGAAGACAACCAAGAGATACAAATGAAAAATGAAAGAAGATCAAAGGTGATTGGCTAAGGAAATGTTGAACTCATTTTCACTCCGAGAAAAAAATCATTTTGACAAATGTCTTGCATATATCGAAAGTGAATAGAAATTTAGCAAGTGGAGTACTTTTGGAAAAACCTATAATTAGGAAAAATCTGTTTTTGAATCTAGAAAACTTAAACTAACCCATAATGGACATTTTGTTGGAAATGACTATTTCACTAAAAGAATGGTCAAATTATGTACTCTTGAGGATAACTCTAATCTAGTCTTTTGCTTATGTTAATGATTCATTTAATTTATGGCATGGTAGATTAGCACATATAGAAATTAATACCATGAAAAGATTGATTAAGAGGGCGTTTGTTTCTCATTTTTGCAAAAATGAGAATGAAAAATATAGTCGTTATGGGTCCCGCATAAGAGATAAAAATTCAAATTTAGTGGCTTGATGTGATGGATAACGGTCATATTTTTTATTTTAATGAAGAAAGAATGAGGAACAAACAGGGGCTAAATGTGGATTAATACGATGTGACATTGATAATTTAAAAAAATGTGAAATACGTGTTAAATAAAAAATGATTAAGAAGTCATTTCATAGTGTAGTAAGATAAACGAAATTACTTGAACTTGTTCGCTCTGACATATGTGAATTAAATGGCATGCTAATTAGAGGTAGTAATAGATATTTCATTATGTTTATCGATGATTGTACTATGTATACTTATATGTATTTATTAAAACATAAAGATGAAGCATTTATTGCTTTTAAGACATATAAAATTGAAATTGAAAATCAATTAAGAAGAAAACTAAAAACTCTCAGAAGTGATAGATGTGGCGAATACTTCTCTAATAAATTCAACACGTTTTGTGAACAAAACGGAATATTACATCAAGTTTCTGCACCAAGAGCACCAGAACAAAATGGTCTTGCAGAAAGAAAGAATAGAACATTCTTGGAAATGATAAATGCCATGTTGTTAAATTTTGAATTACCTTTTTAATCTATAGGGTGAAGTCTTGCTTAGTGCTTGTCATGTAACAAATATGATTTCCATGAAAAATAATAAGATCTCCCTATATGAGTGATGGAAAGGTAGAAAACCAAATATCAATTATTTTAAAGTATAGGGGTGCCTTACCTATTGTAAGAACACAGATCCCAAGAGAATCAAGTTAGTTCCTCAAGGTATCAAATGTGATTTTGTAGGATATGCTCTTAATAGCAAAGCCTGTATATTATTAAACCTAGAATGGATGTTACAATAGAATCCAGTGATGTGGAATCCTTTAATATGTAATGGTAGCAAGGAATTTTGAAAAATAATAAAGATATTTCAACCTTTAGAAGCTCACCAGAAGAGATATCTGTAAGGGATGTTGAAAGTGAACCTTGAAGAAGTAAAAGAACTAGAAAAGAAAAGAATGTAAGATTAAATGAGATAGATTCCAAACTGATTTCCTTTTACTTAGTAGAGGGAGATAAGAAGAATGTTGTAAGAAGTAAGAACAAGTCATTTTGTTCTTCAAGTGAAAAGCGATCCTAAAATCTATAAGAAAGCGATATCATCTAGAGATTGTATGTTCTGGAAAGAAGCAATAAACAACGAAATAGAATCTATTATTTCAAATAATACTTGAAAAATAGTTGATCTACCAGTAGGTTCTAGAGCCATTGATTGCAAGTGGATATTTAGGAAAAAATACAATTCCGATGGAACACTTAACACCTACAAGGTTGGACTAGTAGGTAAAGATATCGTCAGAAGGAATGAATATATTATTTTGACACATATGCACCTGTGGCCAGAATAACCTCGATCAGGATTTTATTTGCTCTATCATCTATTTATGATTTACAAGTTCATCAAGTGGATGTCAAAACGACATTCCTAAATAGAGATCTCGAAGAGGAGATCTATATGGAACAACTAGAAGGGTTCATTCTATCAGAAAATGAATATAAGGTGTGCAAACTAATTAAATCCTTATATGCATTGAATCAAGCCCCAAAAAAGTGACATGAGAAATTTGACTCTAAAATAATGTCAAATGAATTTAATCACAATTTGGTAGATTAATGCCTCTACATGAAAGTAAATGATAATATAATTACTTTAATGTGCTATATATTGATCATTAGCAACAATATAGACGAGATCAAGGAAACAAAAATGTTTCCATCCTTTACGTTCAAAATAAAGGATCTTGGAGAAGTGCACACTATCCTTGGTATCAAGTTAAAAAAACATAGAAATGGTTTTACATTGAGCCAATCACATTATGTTGAAAATGTGATAAATAAATTCAAATATTTGAACGTTAAGGAGGCTAATGCTCCTATAGATCCAAGTATCAAATTGATAAAAAATGAAGGTAGAGCAATAGCTCAAATAGAATACACAAGTGCAATTGGAAGTTTTATGGACGCGTCACAATGTCCAAGACCTAATATAGCTTTTGCTGTAAGTAAACTAAGTATGATTACCAGCAACCCAAATTCGGAACATTGGAAGGCCATTGATAGAGTTCTTGTTTACCTAAAGAAAACCAAAAACCTTGGGCTACAATATATAATTTTTTTTAAAATCTTGGAAGGATATACTGATGCAAGTTGGATAACGAGCGCGGGAGAGAATAAGTCCACTTTTGGTTGGATATTCACCCTTAAAAGTGGTGCAATTTTTTGGAAATCTAAGAAACAAACTTGCATTATTCACTCAACTATGGAGTCGGAGTTTGTAGCATTAGCCGAAACTGGGAAACAAGCTGAGTAGCTAAGGGATTTATTATATGAAATACCTTTAGATATAGAGGATACTTCTTCTAGATCTATCTTGTATGTTAGTCAAGCTACTCTAGCTCGAGTATATAATGAAGTGTACAATGGAAAGTTTAGACACACGACACGAGTATGTAAGGAAATTAATTAAGCATGTAGTAATTTCTCTTACATATATTAAGTCTAGTGAGAATTTAGCCGATCCATTTACCAAACCTCTCACAAAAGAGTTCGTGAGTTCAACAATGAGTAAAATGGGATTGAAACTCCTCAAATAGATCCACCAATAACAACAACCCTACCAAAAGTATACTAAACCGGTCTATTCAAGGTCAAAGGGTAATAATAAGTTATTCGATAAGTGGATGGATTTCAATGTGAACTTCGAGGTGGTGTCGCCTCATTAGAGAATTGGAGTTTTCTCTCTTTAAAAGTTCAATGAAAACGATTATTGCAGGGGCATATTAGCACTGAACGAGTTAGAGGAACTTGTGAGAAGTTTAACACTTGTGTGTGTATGATTTCATTAGTATCGTCACAAAGAGCTGGTTCAAAGCACTCTAGTTACCTAAAATTATGATAATATGTTATGAGATTTACATTGTGAATAGATTCAAATAAAAAGATATCTAGTTTTTACACACAAGTAGTGACATTTGATTATGCGAGTAACACTGATTTTGAACAAATGAGGGATTGTTAGAATATTGTTCTAAATCTTGTGGATGGATGAATTGAAATTGGAGAAGAAATGAAAAGGAAAAAAAAAATTGAAGTGCCATTAATCAAAAAATTTGTGGGCGACCAAGGCTATAACCATGCGACCATGGCTATAAAAAGTGACCGTTATAGGTTGTTTTTGACAATTTTTTATTTAAAATTGGTGGCCTTTCAACCCAATTTTGGCACCACTTCGTGAGAACTTGTCAATGCCTGTAAATAGGTAATCAAACTTCAAGAAAATTGCTATGAAAAATCATATGAAATTCATTTATTTTTCATCCATAATATATAGAACTTTTGTTTCTTTACACAATCATCTAGTTTCCTTTTCATTGGAAGAAACACTTTTGTTTTTGGTGTTCTTCATTAAAAGCATGTTTAATTCTATGAACTATTTGCTAAAAATTCTTAAAAGGCATTGGAAATGAAACAAATAACGTTTGAGGACAGCGAGATTATTTTCATGTTTAAGCTTTTCTTTGATATATATTATCTTCTTTTTTCTTGTGTTCTTCATTGTTGTATTTTTTCAATAGAAGGCCCCTTAACAAGTACCATTCTTACAAACTCGAAATATGCATTGGAAGAAACAAACTTTTGTCGATGTTTTTATAAGTATTAAATATTGGGTCGTTCATAACAAATTCGTATTGAAAAAAGTTTTGTGTTGTGCTTTCTAGTTAGAACTCTGAAACTTTGTGGTTGAATTTGTTGGGAAGATGATCTTTTTTCTTTTTCTGTTTCTTTATAATAAATTATTTTATTTGTTTTAAAGGTGGGGCGGAAATATTGTTTTTTCCGTACTTAATTAACTATATTTTGTCAATTAAGGTCGAATAGTTACCATTTTGTCAAAAACTATCAATAGTATAACCTACATCGAATTCTTGAAAAGTACTTTTAATTCGATTTTTGAACTTTTTCAGATCGTAACAAACCTATGAATATAATTTGTACATATTGGAGTAACCGAAAATTCTTTTTGAACAACCATATAAATAGCTGCAATTTTTTATGGAAATTGTTATTGAAGTGTTGAGATATTAACCCTGTATTTGAGTTTAATTCATTTTTCTAATAAAATAATTTCACACGTAAATTTAAAACTTTTTTCTACCTTTTAATCATGCAGTCTCCCAAAAATCATGATTATAAAATCTATTTTTTCAGAAATGAGGCTCAAACAAATCTCAGGTAATGTCAAAGGTAGAGGATAAAAGTGTAAAAGGAGTAAAGATTGAGGACGCTGGCTGCAATTTACCTCTAAATCAAAAAACCGCCATAACAAGGAACGGTTAAAATAGAAGCCCCTCTCGAAAGCTTTCTGGGAACAGAGAAAAGAAAATTAATGGATCCAGAGAATTGCAGGCCACTGGGTTTCTTGATAGGTCTTCCTTTTGCTTTCCTTGCCTTGATCTTGTCTCTCGTAGGCCTTGTTGTTTGGGCTATTGGGTTAGTTTGTTACTTTTTAATCAATTCCGTTACGTAAATCTAATCTTTGATTTTTTAATCATTTTTTTTTCCTTTTCAATTCACATTTTTGTCTCTCTCGAGTAAGATTGTCGTTTGAACGATCAAATTTCATTTGCATTCGAACACCCAATGTTTAGGAGTCTTGAATGTTTCATCTAATTTTAAATTTTGCACATATTCGACCTTAAATTTATCAAAAATACCATTTAATTCCTTGGTTCGGATCATTCAATTTGATATTTTTTTAATGATATACAGGAGTTTGTTGAGTTGTGTATGTCCATGTTGCATATGCTGTGCTGGAATTGCCAATCTGTCTGTGAGCCTTGTGAAGATGCCTATTAAAGTAATTAGATGGTTTATAGATTTGATACCTTGTTGACAATACAAGACTTTCTCTTCATTCTTTTATTCAGTGTTGCAAACTCTTAAATTTTAGAATATTTCATTGTAGTACTTATTCAATTTAACTAGTTATTTTTGGAATGATGTATATTGGGATTTTGGATTAAGCAAAAGGGAATGAGTTGTTCGAAGAGACTAAATATTCAGCCAGAATCAATGTTGGGTTAGTGTGATTCATTATATTTATTTCCTTTCCTTTTTTTATTTTCACGATCCCTTTGTTATATTTATCTAGCAAGATTTGATTTATGTATTTACGAAGACGTTTGATGAGATAACCTTTCTTGGTGCGGGTTTGAAGGGTTGCATATAAAACATAACCCATGTATGGTTCGGATTAAAGTAAAAAATAATAATTAATTTTAATCACATATTTTATGAGATTCACTACTTTTCAATGACAAATTTTATCAAAATCTACTAAAAGTCTAATTTTTTAATTCCAACCAATGAGGGGCATAATATGAGGCTAATCGAGAATGTGTTTCAAAATTTGTGACCGGATTGGGCAGTTGGCCCACCAATATTATGGGCCGAGTTAGCCCAACAAATGTATTACATCATCACCACGACAAACCAACTCATCAACCGGGCTAACCGGCAATAGCAACCTCCAGGCTAAAAACCCTGGTTACTATTTTCCAAAACCAATTCTCAGAGTCACGGACATGGCATTACCAAGGGCTCCTCTGTCACGACGGAGTTTTCTTCTCTCTTCTCCAAAACCACCACCGTTTTCCTCATTTTTTCGATACTCTCCGCATCTTCAATCCCAGCCCAACTGCAAAATCTATAACTCAGCTTCTCTTCATACAGAAGAATCAATGGCCTCTGCCCGCCAATTCGAAGCTCTTAGTAGAAAAAAATTGAACTGGAAACCATTGTGTTTGTATCATACTCAAGGTAAGTGCACTAAGGTAATGAAAAATCACTCATTAGTTCCTAGGAATATGTGATCAATTGAATGACAAATCGCTCGTTATCTAATTTTTTTTTTTTTTTTTTTATTGGTATAGATGGATGATCCTACGCATGTTGAGAGGTTTAACCATAGTTGTTCTTTGGAGGTTGAGAGGGACGGTTCGGGGCTAAAGAACTTTCGGGCTCAGAAATTTGATTATTTTCTTGTGCTGGATTTGGAGGGCAAAGTTGAGATTCTGGAGTTTCCGGTATTATTATTTGATGCGAAAACCATGGATGTTGTTGATTTGTTTCACAGGTTTGGTTCTTTTAAGCCATCTAGATATGTATAGTGTGTTTTCTTTGTTTTTGTTATATCATGACTGAACTCGTTAACTTTTACCAGACTTTTTGAATGGCCTTAGATGAAGGGTTATTTCTATATCGGAAAGCATTATAATTGACATGGACATTCCTTTTATTGATTGCCAAGAGAAATTATTTTTTAGACTGTTCATAAGCTCCCAATATTCCAAAGAATGTGGCATGTACTAGTTCACGCAATGACGCTCTGTGGTCATAAATGGTGAATATAATTGAGTAGAAATCAAAGGATGTAGTGTTACAAAATCACCATCACTGACTTCCATATTATTATGAAGCATCTTGGTGCAATAACTTCAAATAGAAATGATGGCATTGGCAGTTTGATTTGGTTATAATATTGATTTCTTAAATAACACGTGGTGAAATAGTTACAATGCTTCCAAATTTTTAATTCAGCAACAAGTATCGAGGAATTTGTAATTGTATGTCATGTAGTGGT